GTGACAAAACCTGTCCAGGTAACAAAAGGATGAGTCACGCAGCACACCTCCCTTTTTGACCGTCTTCTTCGTCTGACCAGCGTCTAGCTAGGACTGCTCTGCTAGCTCTCAGCTAGCAGAAACACTGGGATTATTCACCCATATGGGGTAGATCCACATGTACATATTTGTAACTAAGTCTGCCTTCAGGAATCTAACTGTGAACTGATGTAAGTAAACTTCTTTTATTAACTTTGAATAAGATTGTTGCGTCTTTATTCTTTTAAGAGGGATTCAAGGGAACTTACCAGGAATGTATAATTCAATCTGAGACAAACTGAATTGTATAATAGTGAGAAGCTCACACGAGCCTGCAACCAGCTATCTGCTGTGCATGTAAAGGGGGAATGTAAACTCTGCTAAGTAAAGAAACTTGCTAGCGCAAGTTAGGAAAGATATTAATTAACAATATATCCTCTCCTGCGACCCTGAACATTCCCACAAGTGGACCCACTAAAAGGAGCTGTCAATGGCACAGCACTATTAAGAAGAAGTCTCTGAAGTAAAGCTCAGCCCTGCTGTTTACGCAATACTTGCAAAATAAGTGCACACAAACGTACACCTGTAATATGGGGGCAAACGTACTGGCCTACCTTACAGGGTCATTTTAGAAATTCCTAAGATGTTGTATGTTTAACATCTTCTTGGGCGATCACTTGTAGCTGAGTAAGGTTGTCTTCCATAAGCACAGTCTTAACAGTGAGTCCGTAAGTGACTGTGGAGGCCAATTCTGGATCCACACATCCTTCCACAGTGGGGACATAGGTTTCTGGGCAGGAGTTGATCATGGTGAGGGTTTGCCAAGCGTGCTTTCCTCTTAGCACGTTTCTCCCTAGGGTCCTGAGTTCAATGTCTTCAAAGCCTGTGACACCTTTGATAAAGGCTGTTCTCCACTTGGAGCACTTGCAGGCCAGTGTTTCTCAATTGTTGGTGTTTATACTACATTTTTAAAGATTTGTCTTAAGCAGGTGCCTTCAGTGTATTGGTTTTGGTCTCTGCAAAACACTTTGTTGAAGCCATAGAATTTTGGCACGTAATTTTGTCAACTTGGTTTTAGGAATTGTAAATGTTTTAAAATTGCTGTACTGATTTCATTTCATGCTTTCAAATGTTTATGTAACTTGTTTCTAATGTTTTGCCTTTTTCTTGGAATTTTAATGACTATTTTAGACTGTTGTTCTAGAGTCAGTGGCATATAAATTTTGGAAAATAAATGAATACATAGTACTTTGGGGAAATTTCACTCTGATTCATTTGGAGTGTGTGATTTTAATCCCTCTACCCCCATAAACATCCATCTATCTATGCATCCCTATGTTTCTTTGACTGAAGTAGGGCAGCCCTCCCCTCGCCGCCACTTCAAGTTATGTCCGTCAGTTATCAGTAATCATATGGGTTTAATTTGATTAGTTGATCAAGCTGCTGATTACATTTGCTTACACTTTCATATGAGTAAACACAGTAGTTCTGAATCAAGAAACATGCTTTGCTCGTTTTCAGATGGTACACATCTGTCTTGCTGCAGGCACATAGGACTCTAGCTCCTATCAGCCTCAGCCAGCATGGCCAATGGGCAGAGTTGATGGTGGTTGTAGTCTAAGAACATACAGCAAGCCACAGGTCCCCCATAACGGAAATATTCCCATCCTGGGTGTGAGAAGTAGCTGGTGCCTCTGCCAAGACGGTGCTGACTATCCTCTCTTTCCCCATGTATTGGTATTAAAATACATTTTAAAAATAAATAAATCTGGTCAATATATCAGGTCCCCATTTTAGTCAAGTAAGGTTGTACTCCTGTGCCCCTTTACAAGAGTGGTCCCTTTGAACTCTGTGAGATTTAGTTCTGAATACTGTAGACATATATAGGATTACACGGTGAATGTTTGTAATCAATTGATTGGGTTGCAGTCCTTAAATGAGGAAAGGGGAATGCCCTTTTGAATTACTGACTTTGTCATAAGATTAGCATAGCTGTTAAAATGACTGAGATGTTTCCTTCCTTCCTTTCTTTCAATTTTCTCTTGTCCTTCCTTCCAAAAGAGCAGGGTTAACCATAGGTTTTTTTAAAAGGCTGATTTGAATCAGCAGCACGAATCAGCAAAGGCAGGCTGCCTATTAGGTCTTGCAAATGGTTACACTACTCCTTTTGACGTGATCCAAATATTTTATAATTTGATAAACACTACCCCACTTCTCTTTTAATTAAAAAACAAAGCCCTTTCTTTTCTGAATGCCACATCTGCAAACTGATCCTTTGCCCAGAAGCAAGACCCAGTGATTTCAGTGGGGCATTCAATCAAGTCTTGCATGATTCGACGGCAGCCTCAGAGCAGAAGGAGCCTGTGCATTTGCTACCATTTCACTCTATGGGGTGAAGTAAGAGGGAATGGCCCGTTTTGCTGTGGCGGGAACAGTTCTGCAAGATCCTGGCGGGGAGCTAACTTTGGAGAGGACGGAGGGATAGGGAAAATAAACCCCATCCTTCCTTACACATCAACCCATTAAGGCTGCTGCAACCACTTACTTGGGAGTAAGACTGTCTCCTCGAACGTAGCACGAGGGTCTTACTTCGGAGTAAATATGCATGGATGAATCTTTTATCTGGGTTGGTTTCGTTACCGCAAGAGAGTCGCAAGATGACAATCACCCATTCTCCGAATGTTTATTTTGTTTCCCTACGTGCGATTTGTAAAAATTATATTTTTAGTAGTAGTAGTAGTAGTATATTTTCGCTAATATTCTCCAAACCCACAAAAACGGGGGAAACATACATTATTTCAAGCATTTGACTTTTGTATACATGAGTGAACAAGTCCGATGTTGGCTGGGGAAAACTCGAGAAAGGATCAGACCGTGGGGATGAAAAATCGGGACCTCGAAAGGCCAAAGGGACAAGGAAACAGTGGCGAGCGAAACACAGGATCAAAGCTGTAATCTGGCCACAGGCTCCCAGAAGCGGGAAGTTTGACTCCACACAGCAAAGTAGACGTGTCTCTCTTCCAAACGCACCCCGAAATGCTCCCGTTCTGCAGAAGGCTTAGGCAAGATCTAAGTAAACTAGACCCGAAGGGAATTTTAGTCCTACGGTGTAATTGAACGTGAAAATCCTTTCCTTGCAGGCAGCAGACATCCATCACCAGGGTCTTTTTTAAGGGTTCAATTCTAGGGAGGTTTTCTTTTCTAACATGGTATGAGGAATGTGTGGCTTGCTCAAATGGCGGTGGGAGAAAGCTTAGTGGAAGAGAATAAGCAGGAAATTAACTGGAATTTGGACACGGTTATAGGGGATAGCAGGATGAAATTAAGAGAAGGAGTGTCTCTCTGTCTCTCTCACACATACTTCCTTACTCTTGCCAATTGCCAATTGGTCAATTACGCGCGCCCCCCAAAAAAAAGTTTTCTTGGAAGGCGCTGCGCTCTGCTCTGTCATTGCAACCAGACTTCTTTTCTAACCATCTTAAAAGCTGTTTATTGGGGGGGGGGCGTTTAATAAGGACAGGAAAACAACAATGTCATGCGCTTGAGAGCTTTTGCGTTACACAGGGTGAGTTTTTTCTTCTTCAAGAGGTGAGATTCTTCTGAGAGGGCTCTCAGGCACTTTACAAAGAACAACAGGGTTTGTGGCTTCAGTCCTGCGCGCCCTTATTGGGTGGGTAACATGGGATGACACAGGCCTTACTTCTGGACGATGAGCACGCACCGAATTGCGCGATTCTGTGCAGACTGGCCTGAAATCAGTTGGACTCACTTCTGAGTAGACATACCCACGACTGGCTGCTCTTTTAAGGACACGCATCTCCCGGCCGTTTTGTACGTGTTTGCTCAGAAGTCCCTCCCGTTGAACTCAACGGCGCTTCCTCCCAAGTAACAGTGTCCCAAGGAAGTGGCCATAGGATTGCAGTCTTTAAAGACCCGTCAGACTGTTTTGCAGCAGCAAAAGGCGATGGGATAGAATTTCCACACAGCCAGGAGCTTAAATAGCTTGAGAATCTTTGCAGGTTCCTCTGTCTTCCCTCTCTTTGGAACGGATTTTATTTATTGGCTTCTTCAAGCCATCAATCCTCCTGGATACTTTGGGAGGGTATTATTTTTCATTAGGTTCTCAGAGCTGGAGAGGACCTCAGAGGTCATTTAGTCCAGCCTCCTTGCCCTTGCAGAATGTCCACAGCGACAACAACATTCCAGAGGTCATCCAGCCTAGCAAAGTACAAATCTTACCTTTTTTCAGGTAAGAAAACTCCTTACCTTTCTGTAGAGGTAAATTTCCCCTGCTCCACGCCTTTCAGTACAGCGTTTGAAGGCAAATGCCTAATTCTGACTTTTGTCTCTTAAAATTTCCAGTGCTTAATTTGTCCACATTTTTAAAACTCCATAGCTATATTTTTATTATAGCAATCTTTCTGAGAGCAGACGCCCAACTTGCTAGAGAAAATTACTTTTAAAAAAAAATCCTATGTACAGCGTGGAATAAATTTCAGACACAATCCCTTTATAATTAAGCACCCTAAGAGTCCATTTATCCCAAGGAGAAAGATCTAAGCGCGCGCTTTAACTCCCATTTTGAAACTAATGGGACTGCAAAGTGCTTCTAACTTTGCTTGGATCGTGGCCTTTACTTGCAACGGTCTTACTAAGTTTGCAACCCTGTGTGCGCTCACTCGGGAGCAAGTCTTAGTAAAGGCGGAGAGGTTTACTTCTGAGCAAACAGGCGCCATAGGATCGGGCTGTTTGGGGATAGAATCTCAAGCATTCTGAGAATTAAATTTCCTAGAAATGATGTTTTTCACGCGTATTATTAAATGGCCTTACTGACGTTACCTTCTTTGCATCTTCCACGTAACAGAGATCGAAGAGTTCATGGTTTATATTTGCATTCAGAGAAACTGCCATTCATTCCCCCGACTTCAATTTAATTTCTGCATTTACCGTAGGAATTGGGGGTGGGGGGCGGGGGCGGGGGCGGGGGATGGAATCCACTCAGCCCCGCGCGCAAAAATACAGCTGTTTAAAAATGCCATGGTCCAAATCCCTCCTCCATCTGAGATCACCTGCATGGATCTGATCCGGATTCTGAGCCTCGCTCAGTTTCCTCCGCCCTGTTCCCACAACCTTTGCCTAACTCGACGGGGCGGGGAAATGTTGGTGGAGATTCCCAGTCCTAAAAAGGAGCAGGGAGGAGGAGGATGGATGAATGGGTCAGAGGGGTTCTCTCACATCTGTCCGGGGTTTGGTCTTCTCGGATCAGAGTCTGGGGTCAGATCCATCGGCCACCTGTCCTCAAGTGGACCCAGGAGTCTTTTAGCAGCGGACCGCCCATCCCACTCCTCCCCGCGTCAGGCCAGTCCCACCCCAACCCATCTTGGCTGAGTCCCGGAGTCCGAGCTCGCCCTAGATGAGGTGCTGGGGACCGCACAGCTCCGCCCCTTCGATTATGTCCACCTCGTCCTCGGTCTCCTCTAGCAGGAAGGGCGGCGGGTGGCCGCCCTTGCGGGGCTCGGCCGAGGAGGAGGCCGAAGAAGCGACGGGCGCCGTTTTGTCTGGCTGCACCTGCTCCGGCTCGCTGCTGGCCCCCTGCTCCGCGCTGTCCTCCGCGCCGGGGGCCTTGGGGTCGTCCTGGCTCTTCCTCAGCTGCTTTTTGTGCTTCATCCGACGGTTCTGGAACCACGTTTTCACCTGCAAGGAGAAGCGGCGAGGTTGGCTCGGGCGCACGTCAGAAGCGAGAGATATTCGGAACTCCTTCCTCCCAAACGCCATCCCTGCGGAGTGGGTGGGATGGCACTGGAAAAGGGTGGAAGGGAGGGGACCGAATGGGAAAGGCACATTTGCCAAGTGGACAAACAATAAGTTCCCTTGTTTGAAAGAAAAGGAAAGCGGGGAAATGATGATCCGGATTCGGAACCGGTTTACATTTTCTAGGGCAAGTGGAAAGTCCGGAGAGGACTTGAAATGCCTCCGTGTGTCCACATCTGCATTGTGAACACGTTGGACAACTATTTAGGAGCCCAGTTTTCTTTGGGTTTCTTAGACTGTTTCACGGGGATCCTAGCGCACACCTGACATGAAACACAGCATGTGGCCGCTCCAAGGTTCACGGAAGCTTGCAAAGTGTTCTGCCCATAACTCCCGAGAAGAAGCGGGCGCCTTAGACAGGTGGGAAACTGAGGTTGTGTAAGGGGGGCTTGTTCAACACCCCGCAATGTCAGCTCATCCTTCTCTTACCCTTGCACACACAGACAGAGAGAGACATACACACGGGCGCGCGCGCGCGCGCGCGATTTCGCAATGGGGAGAGAAAAACTGCCCTCCCCATTCACCGTAGGTTTCAGATTGGGTTCAAGCCAGATGCCTCATTCTTTATTCGCAAATAAATTCAGCGGGGTTTTACTCCCAGGTAAAGCGTGCATGGAGTTGCGCAAGGGAAGGGAAACATTAGGCTGCAATCCTACGTAGGCTTAATTTGCTAGTAAACCCTACTGGGATTCTTAAGGCTTACTTCCGAGTAACATGCACAAGCTAGCTTCATTGCACGACTTTGTAGCAAAACTTCATCGGCTCATCTCCACGCCCCACTAGCTTCACCGTTGCCCTCCCATTATTGGCATGCAAACTGTAGGGTCCTCAGGGCAGGTCTTTTGAGCTTCTGTGTTAATTCTGGGTCACTTCACTTGCGAAGTGAAGTGATGGTTCAGACCACAGACTAAGCTCCATTTGCTCCTCGGAGTGGCAGATTTGAGAACCGACATCTCTCTGGTGAACTTATGGGAGGGCTGATTTATGATTTTAAATTCTGTCCCAATTGCATCATATTATTATTATTATTCCTGCATTGTAGGGGGTTGGACTAGATGACCCTCTGGATCCCTTCCAACTCTACAATATATTATTATTATTATTATTAATTATTATTATTATTATTATTATTATTATTATTATTATTATTAATTCTTCTTCTACTACCACTACTACTATTTTACTGTTCTGGTTTTACTGAAATATCATAAACTGCCCCGTGGGCCGGGGCTGTTACTCAAAGGACGAGAACTCAAATCAATTGAAAGTAATTCGACACGACCATTTTGCTTTACTGTTACTGTTTAAATTCGTTCTGTGCCGCCTGAATTCCTCCTTTCGCCTCCACCACACAGAAAGGCTCTCAACACACTGAGCCAGGACTTATGACAGCTGCAAGCAACATCCTGCGCATGTTTCCTGAGAAGTAAGCCCCCCCCCCCCGTGTCCTCCATGGGACCGACTCTCGAGTAAGGCCGTACGCAGGAGGACCGCAGCCTCGGTCACCCGGCATCCCAAGGCTCTCGAGGGAGGGAGGAAAACGTTCCGGGGCTCACTCCCCTTTAAGACAGCTGCTTTCTCCTCCCCCCCATTGGGGGCCGGGGTCTTTTGTGGGGTGCCAGACTGCACCCAATCACCCACCCACCGCGCTTCGTTCCTCCGCATCCTTCCAGCCCGGCCTTACCTGGGTCTCCGAGAGGCTGAGCGCTGTGGCCAGTTCGACGCGCTCGGGTGTGGAAAGGTAGCGCTGGATCTCGAAGCGCTTCTCCAGGCCGGAGAGCTGCGAGTCCGAGAAGACGGTGCGGGCCTTCCGACGGCGGCAGTGCTTGCCCGGCAGCTCGGCGTGCGGGTGAGGCTGGAAGAGAGCGGGCACCGGCACCCCTGCAAGGAAGACACGAGCGGATCCGTGGCGGGCCTGCCAGGCGCCCCACCGACAACCCACAGCCCACCTTTAAGGAGAGATCGATAGATATGGATTCTTGGTGGGAGGGGGGAGATAAAGGTGCCTGGAGTCCCAGGCGAATGCCATCTAAGAAGTCCAGGCACTGGGAGTGGAGGCGCCATGGTCTCCGCCAAACAGAGGTAGACTGCCCCTGCCCGCGGAAGCTCCATGTAGCCATCGCAGCGCCTATTCGCCGAGAGGCCTCAACAGTAAATCGACTGCAAACCACCGTGCGGCCTCCTTTATGTGAACGCAGCCGGGGATGGGGAAGCCGCGGCCGCAAAGGTAGCATTGCAACCGCCAGAGTAGGGTTGTTGTTGTTGTTGCTGCTGTTTTGCCATTCCCAACACCTAGCACCACCACACTGCCTCTTAGGAGTAGCACTGAGCTCCCGAATTCTATATTCCCCGCTTAATCTTTGGACAGGGTACTATTTACCTATTATTTCCCCTATTCACTAAACTTCGTTTTAATACGTGTCATTTCCCACCCAGTCCTGGGCCTCATCTCCCTCCCACCCCCGCGCTCCACTTTCTTTGAATTCAGATCATGAGGCAGCCACCCGAAAGGGTAGAAAATCCTCTGCCGTTTGGCCCGGGTTAATTAAAACGGATTAAACGCGAGGTCTGCTTTTCTGTTCCCAAACCCTTCTTTTACGCACGTGAGTGAGCACAGTTCAAAATTGGGGCGGGTTTCCAAGAGAAACAAACGGTGGTTGAAGAGCCTCGGAGCACCTCATTCCGTGGTCTGAAATGCTTGGAGTGTGGACGCTGCGGGGCGCTTTTTCAAGGAACTGGGAGGAACCTGAGCCAGTTCCTGCGTCCCGGTCCAAAATCTCCCCCGTCGATCATGACAGAAGTGGGAAGTTCTTCTTCCAGCCCACCCCCCTTTCCCCAGTTCCCTGGAAGACACAAAGCTCCCCTCCCCTTTCTTCCAGGGTAAAGGAACGAACAGCCTCTGCTAAAAGTCTACCGACAAAACAGCTCAGTGTAGCGGTGGCTTCAGAGGCAGAACTAAAAGACTACAATCTCACGCATTTACACGCTTTCGTAGATTGAAGTCAATAGGACCGACTTCTGAGTGGACAAGCAGAAGGTTGCGTTAGAAGCAAATTGCGTGCGTGTCCCTGCGGGGATCCTGCCAGCAGTGCTAACCCCTCACCTCGCAAGCTAGAATTTGAACTCAGGACTTCTTCGCTGTCAGCGACTACATCAGTTGGGCTGGGGGGGGAAAGAGGATTTCACGAGGACTTTTCTTTAGCCATGGCAGAGCTCCTGTGACTTTGCTGCGTAACCGGCAGAAAATCTGTCGGTGAAGCTTTCCCCACCCCCAACACAGCGGCGGGGAGAGCTTTTCCTGCTGAATTTCTGCCTTCCTAGAAAAATAAAGGGAGCCTGCAAGTCCGGAGGCCACTAAGGGCAGCATCAATCGCTTCCTCTGACATCTTTCATTGCTAAGGTTTCCTAGAGTTGATCTACCCTCCACCTAATCTCCCAAATGCAAATGTGAGTCCAAATGGGTCATTAAGTATTTGTGACCAACTCCGCAGCTATTGCCCCTTTCCGCTTCAATCCTCGTTTTTCTCCTTTGTTTTCTGGCTTTTGAGACTCTGCAAAAGTTCGTCATTTAAAAAGAAACCCTCTGGGCGTGCGACTGTAATTCCACGTCCCAGAGTGGATGCATTGCGGACGACTCTTTTTACCGGGTGTCAGTTCACTGTGGTGGCCGGCAAAAGAGAGTTATTTCCCTATCATCCTGCTGAGTCCTAAGGAGGATCAGGTGGATCTGCGGGTGGGAGCAGAATGTGGAAGAGCGACCGTCTGCACCCGCCAGCCTGACTTCACATCTGATCAGGAATGCCAGCTTGGCCGCGACCGTGGGTGCCCGGGGTCGTGGGTGCCCTGCAGCGTGCATGGCCCTGGCGCCCAAATTTGTTGGTGCGCGGCCCCTTCATGGGGAATTTTGTGGGTGCTCGGGCACTCAGGACCGCAGGGAGTCGATACCTATGCATCTGATTACGCTGAAGCCTTTAAAAACACGCGCTCACTGCGGCTCCTTATTTCTATATGCGATACTCTATACGGGTTACCTTCCCCGTTTTAAATCGTATAACCGTTAAGTGTCGTTTACATTCCTCATAGGCAAGATGCAAGGTTCGTGTGTTTATTTTCATGACTACTGTTTTCGTATTTCTAAGATGTTTTCCTTTATCGACTTTTTTTAAAAAAAAATATTTTTTTTTGTTTGATTTTGCATTTTCATGACTGGAAAAACGGGGTTGAATAAAACCGTCTCAAGGAAACATTCTTGTGCGCTTGGCAACTCTTGAAAAGCTTCCCAGTCTTTTGGGTTGCAATCCTGTGCAATTTCAAGCAACGTTCCCTTATATTACTTATAATTTCTAATTAAACAAATTTGAAGGAAATAAATTTTAAGTTTTCGTCTGACATTTTGCCTTTTCTTCCCTTTCATTTTCTATCCCTTTGTAAATATATAAGTCTTATACATTCTAAAAGGTAACGGGTTGATGCTCCTTTTTTGTGTCAAAAGGACAGTTGGTTCCGTCTTATTCTAAATTAATTAGAGTCTTGTTTTTAACGGATTCTAAATAGTGGAGTCTAAATCGTGGGATGAATTCGGTTCGAAGATAAATCCAATATTCCTTTTCGTTTATAAACTGAGAATGATTCTTGATTAAATTATAGTTTCAACCACTGGTCGCTCCACAAAATATTAATCTGTCTTCTCTCCCTCTTCAAGAGAACCCCCTTTAAAAGTCTGAAGGAAAACAGCAACCGCGTGAGTTCATTTATTTATTTGTATTCAGTGGGAAAGAAGTTCCCTACCGCGTTTTATTTTATAATTTCAGATTCAATCGTGACATTGCTGAAAAGTTATTAAGGTTTGGCTTGATTTATTTTTGAGCATCGGAAGTCAGAGACCTTGGAAGTTAAAGACCAAGAGGACTTTACTTCCAAGGGCTTCCGATTCTTTTAAGGACGAACTGAAACTCATATAGACTGAGGGATTTTCGTGCCCGCGACGCAAGCGGAGGATCTCTGCGTCAAGGGGCTGATTCCCAAACTTCCAGCGCCCTTTCCCCGCTTCTATGATTCATCAAAGAGAGCAGGGACGGAAGATGCCCTCGCTGCTCTGAATTTTTTAAAAGCCTCAACCCGCATCTTGTCATTTTGTGCGTAAAGAAGAAAGTTTGGCAACCACCTGGATAAAATCGGATTTGGGGAGTTCTCGACTAAACCGTTCGCATCAGCAGCGCGGCTAGACTTGACTGGACTTTTGCTTTGCCTTTTCTTGGACAGCAAAGCGGGCAGCTTCCTCTCCTTTTTAAAGCCTCCCCTCCCCGAAAAAAGCCCACCCACCAACAATAGCCAACCTGTGGCACCGGGACACACACCGGCACGAGTTTGGGTACCAGGCAACGCACACGACAGAGACTCGCGCGGTTCCTCAAGCCAAAGGCAGAGAGGCGACGGCGAAGGAGCGCTTACCCGAAGTGGTCAAGAAATAAGGGTGGTGATGATCCGGTTTATGGAGCGGGTGGTGCGGGTGAGGCGCCAGGATGGTCGGCGGGGGCATCAGGGGGTACCCATAGTCCAGCAGAGGGACCCGAGAGGCCAGGGGGCTGTGGAAGTGCTCGGGGGCCACTTCCCGAAGGGGCTTGGGCTTGTGGAGCAGGATGTCCTCGATGAAGAAGGAAGTTGGCCTGTGGGAAGACACCGAGTGGGCCACCGCGTGCGAGGTGAAGTTGAGGTTCATCTCCCCGCTTCTGGAGACGAGGATCCGGGCTGGGGGGCGCCGAAGGAACTCCCTGGCTCTTGTCCTCTGTCTCTCCGGGTCTTTTTGTTGCTTTTGAAGCCAACCAGGAGTAGGGTTCTCTCTCAGTCGCCTTCTTCTTCTTCTTCCTCCTCCTCCCTTCACGCTTTGGAGGGAGCCAAGAGAGAAGAGCAAGGTGGATCCTTCAAGGGCTTTCGGAAGCTGGGGGTGGGGGGGAGGGAGAGGATTTGCGCCTTTGAGGGCCGCTCCGAAGGGGGATCTCCAGCGAGCCAATCGCGGGTTAGCAGGGCGGAGGGAAAAACCGGCTTTGCCCGATGTCACCCACAGGAGTGGCGAATGTAGGCGACGGAGGGAGACGCTGTCCGTGGTGCTGAAAAGAGCGCAGGGGACGCTGCTTGCGGGGCAGTGAGCAGGAGCGCCAAGGGATGGCGTGGGAAGGGATTGGTGTCCAGTTTGGGACAGGGGATACAGAGGGATAGGCCCCTCCTACCACCTGCGCCACCACACCTTCCCATGGAAAATGCAGGCACGGTGTACTTTTTAGACTGCCAGGAATGTTTTCTTCCTGGGTGCAACAAGAAGCCACAATTGGCCATAGCTGCCCCCTGCTGTGGCCACATCATGAGCACATGCACTGCAATCGAGGCATGTGTGATCGTCATGCAGGACAACACATACTCTTTTTCTCAGACACAGAAGTACTTTCAGTGTCAAATTCAAGGTGGTTATCTGTGGTTTAGAGGACGGCTTGGGAAAATAGGAGGTGGAATGATAGCTCAGCTGCAGAGCCTGAGGGGAGTGGCCCTACAATCTCCCAGTCTCAGTTCTCTATCTGTGAGAGCCAGAACCAACAAGTTGAGGACCACAATATGCTTTGTACATTTTAAAAGTGAGCCTTGGAAAGTATGGCACGAAGCAGTATATAGATGCTTGAAACCAATAAAGTGTGGTACAAATGATCAGTAATCACAACTGAGAGAATCCCTCTGTGTGAAAAAGAAGTGCAGGTTGTCTGAGATACAGTTGCATGTTTGCATTGGCACAGAGAGGGATTATATGATGGTTTAGGTTAGGACAATGTCCAAGCCACCAACAGCCCAATCCTATGCACATTTGCCCATGAATGCAATAGGACTTGCTTCCTACTAAGGGTGCTTAAGAATGCATCATTAACAGTGTTGGTAGCAGCAGAAGAGACCTGGTCTGCCAAAGTCAAATATTCCTAAGGCCTAAAACTGTGATCCCATGCATAGTTCCTCGGGAGCAAACCTTGCTAAATCCAATGGGGATCACTTCTGACTTCACTTACCCAGAATCAGGTTCTATGTTCTATTGGTTTCAACAGGAGTAACTTAACCACACCTTAATCTCCCAGCAAAAACAACAGAAATGCCCAAATGGCATCTGATGGAAACTGGAAATGAGTTTAAAGGAGTGGCTTTCAGCTAATGATATTCAAACAGACTTTGACTGCATGCACATTTAGGAGGTCTTTCAGTCTTAACTTTGTTACTCCACTTTATTCTACAGTAGTCAGGGCTCATCCGGAATACTGCACAGTGGTACCTCGGGTTACGGACGCTTCATGTTACAGACGCTTCAGGTTACAGACTCCGCTAACCCAGAAATAGTACCTTTGTTTCAGGATGAGAACAGAAATTGTTCAGTGGCAGTGCGGCGGCAGCAGAAGGCCCCATTAACTAAGGTGGTACCTCAGGTTAAGAACAGCTTCAGGTTAAGAACGGACCTCCAGAACGAATTAAGTTCTTACCCTGAGGCACCACTGTATCCAGTTCCAGGTTCCAAAATGTAGAAAAACTGAGAAAGGAAAGCAACAAAAATTCTCAGGGATATTGGGGATCGTGAATAGGGAAGGAACCTAGAAGGAAAGGTTGAAGGAACTGGGTGTGTTTAGCAAAGAGAAGATGATATCATGTGGGGACATGACAGCACTCTCAGAACACCTGAAGGGCTGTCACACAGAAGAGGGCAAAGATTGATTCTCTGATGCCCTAGTGGGAAGGACTCAACCTATTGGGCTTAAGTTCTAAGTCAGTAAATTTAAGAAAGGACCTGCTGGATCAGGCCAATGGCCCATCTAGTTCAGCATCCTGTTCTCAGAGTGATCTAACAGATCTCTGTGGGAAGCCTGCAAGCAGGACATCATGAGCACAAGAGAGCACTCTCTCCTCCTGTGGTTTCCATTAACTGGTATTCAGAAGCATCTTGCCTGTGACAGTGGAGGTAGAAACATAGCCATCAAGGTTAGAAGCCACTGATACAGCCCTATCTCCTCCATGATGGAACCTTTGTAGAATCTTCTTGATGGTAAGAAGAATTTGACAATTGACAATGGAATCAATGCCCTTGGAAGGGGGGCGGGACTGAGCTCTCCCTTGCATGGGCGTAGCCAGGATTTATGTTGGGGAGGTGGGACACCCACCTCTCATCATCCTCTGACTCTGTCTAGCAGATTTGGAATGAAATGTCTCGAGAACAGTTGTTTAAAATCACTTTCTTTTGACTCCAATGTCAAAATCTTCAGTTGTTTGAAAGCTAGGGAGATAAATTTTTTTTTAAAGCATCAGGGAGTACCTTTCATGTGGCTAACAAGTATATTTTGCAAAATTATAAAGAACAATTTTTGCAAAATTATAAAGAACATACCTTTTTCCATCTTATTTTTTTAAAAAATCTAAGCTAAAACAAGTTTTGCTGGATTTGCTGGGGAAAAAAACAGCATTTCCTTCTCAATTTTCTCCTTTTTCCTTTTTCTCCTTTTTTTGTGCATACTCATTGATAGTCCATAGTGCATAGTCCATTGATAGCTCATTGAGCATTTCAGCTTCAAATATTCTGATAATTTCTACTTTTAGTTAAATATTTTTTATTTATTTGCTTGATTGTGGGGAGGGCCAGCTGCCCCCCTTGTCCCCTGTGGCTACGCCCATGCTCCCTTGCTGAAGGTTTTCAAGCAGAGGCCAGACGGTCATATTTTGGAGATGCTTACTTGAGAGACTGCCTTGCCCCTTATAAACCCAATAGATAGCTGTGGTCTGTGGGAGAGTTTCTCTTATGAGTTCCAAAGATCTAAGAAGTCTGCTCCACAGTCACTGAGAGCAGGGCTTTAAGGACGGCTGCCCCTGTTCTGTGGGAAACCATTCCTGTCAAGATCCAACAAGCTACCTACACTTTCTAGAAACAATTGAAGTTTTCTTTTTGTTCTGACAGGATTTCCCAGCTGGATAAATGGGTCTTTACCACGAGTACCCCCATGTTCACATTTTAGTCTTGTTTTAAATGTACTGCAATTTTCCGTGTATAAGATGCCCCCATGTATTTTGGGGGACTCAAATCCCCCCCCCTTTACTATCTGTGTATAAGACCAGCCACATTTTTAAACATTATTTTTGAGTAAAAAAACCTAGTCTTATACATGGGAAAGTATGGTATTTGCTCTTTTTAACTGTTTTTAATTCTCTTGTGTATAAATCACCCTGAGATTGTGGTTTAGAAGTCAGTCAGTCAGTCAGTCAGTCAGCCAATCAATCAATCAATCAATCAACCAATCAGTGGTGATTCTGATAACCACCATAATTTAAATCTCTTTGCACAGCAGCTCTGTGAGGTAGGCAAGACCAATATAATTTGCTTGGGGGCAGCATAACTGAGCAGGGAGGTAAACTTTTGATGTCTACTCTGCTGTGCTCCGTTAGTTCTACTGCCCTGATGTGTTCCAACAATTGTTGTGAGCAATAGGTGTTTTTTAAGCCAAACATATTCAGAGCAAAACAAGGAACTTCTAGCTGAAGCTTCCCTCCCCTCTTCTCCTTCCCCATGAAGTTGAATTATTGCAGTGCTGCCATTCCCCCCCCCATCACATCTTTCTTTCTGACTTCTTCCTTCTGCCCCTCCCAGACATTATCCTGTTGGGATTTTCCTCCAGCTCATTTGCCTTCTAATCTTATGTCTCACCCCTTATTACCTTCCCCTGCTTTTCCTCGCCTCTCCCTCTGCTTGTTATGTTGTTTTTTTACCCCCTCCTTATCCGTAACATTCATTTCCCCAGAGTCAATTTGCTAAAATTAGGGTGATACACCACATCATAGCCGAGATAATTTCGGCTCGCATCTCAGAAAATTGCTCTAATTATTGATGTTAAATTCGGGGAAATTAAAAGAAGGCACTCCTCCTTCATCTCCTGATTTTAAGCTCTAATTTGTCAAAATCGAGTTGTCATCACAATTCCAGTCAGGGGCTGTTAATAGTCAAAATGTTTTAATAGAGCCAGAATTCTCGCAACCCATGCTATTAGATAATTAGGAGGGATGTTAGAAAGACAAGTGGTAATCCTTGGGCGCACAGACAGCAGCTCCATCTGATCTAGCAGGTAGAACAAATTAATTACCAGAATCAATTAGGCTGAAAAGTACAGTTCTCCAGGAAGTGTAAACCATGCCATACATATGGATGAGCTTGTAAATGGTAAATAAATGGCAAACCCCCGAAAATAATAGAAACGGCAATCATGATAGTTTAATGAACCTGCAACTCAGAGAACATGAGTTAATGTTACCCTAACTCCCACATGTTTGTCTGCTGGATAATGAAAATGGCCTCAGGAAGATAACGGCCACAGCATGTCTCAGTGTTCCAGAGATCACTTCATCACTCTGCTTTATTGGATTGTTAATGTTCCTTTTGCTGCAACGAAAACTAAAGAAAAACAAGAGGGCCCAGAAGCTCGTGCGAAAGTCAGTCTCCCCTGGTCCAACAAGTGAGAGCTGCTGTTTGTGGAAGATGATGCAGTGAATATCATCTGGATTTGTGTGTCCTTCCTAGGATGCTCATCACGGCTCCACCGAACTGGCTAGGTGCATCCTTTCATTTTAGATAGGGTCACCGGTGGTTGGTGCCCATTGGAACAGGTGGAGCACAAGGCAGGGAGCCCAACAGGTGGGAGAGACAGAGCAGAGCCGACAAATTCCTGTTCCCCACCCACCCGCTCCCTGCTGAGTTCCACAAGGGGCCAAAGAGGAGGAACCTGTTAGGCTTGGCTACTCCTTGGACTGGTTGTAAGTCACAAGACAGGCAGATGGGGGGGGTGACTGAGGGCAGGCTGAGGTTGG